GGCTCCAAAATCGCCCCACAACCATCCGAAAGGGCTTCCAGGCATTCCAAGAGAGCCCCCAAACGGCACAACACGGGTCCAAGATGGCCCTCAGAGAGCCCCACGGCGGCCCAAGATAGCCCAAAGACACCCTCCGAAGCATTCCGAATCGTGACCCGGTCGTTCAGGGAGACCGCGGTTGGAGGCAGGGTGGCCCGAGGAAGCCCCCGGAGGCCCCCAGAATACGCCCAGGAGGCCTCCATAAGGCAGTAAGAAAGCCTGAAACAATTTTTGTGAGGCCCCCAGAGGCTCTCCAAGGAGGAGCCTCCGCGAAAAAGAGCTGAGGAGGATGGGGAGTGTGCGCAGGGTATGGCGAAAATAAGGAAACAGAAGCATGGAGAAAGGATAACGAATAACATTATTATAGCGGCGATGCGGGAAAAGGCAACAAGGAGTTATCGCTAAATTGTCGGCTTGACCTTCCTGCTATTTCGCCGGCATACCAAACTTCAAGGACCAAGGTGCATGGCGCGAAGCGCCATTGCAGTCTTGTATATATATGTGTATATATATATATATATATATATATATATATTCGCATACTACATCTATACATAGATCGATCACACGATTCCTTAATATCATTGCCTGTCTACTCATCTCACTATATATCTCACGGCATCATTGTCGAGTTTTGCTGTGACTGTCAATATCACTCTTGATGTCTGTCGATATCATTATCAATCCATTTGGACAGCCATCAGGGCAACCAGCGCCTTTTTGATTACATGATGACCAGTATCTCGAGGTGTCGAAGGCGCCCAACGCAATCTTTTGCCGAAGTCCATTATGACAATCAACGGGTCACACATCGGGACAAGCATCGGGACAACCATTGGGACAATCATCGGGACAACCATCTGGATACCAATCGGGACAGCCATCTGGACAACCATCTGGACAGCCATCGGTACTACCCTCGGGACAACCAGCGGGACAGCAATCGGGGCAACCATTGAGACAACCATCGGGACACTTATCGGGACAACCATCGTGACAACCATCGGGACCATCATCGGGACTTCGCCGTGACAACCATCTGGACAACACTCGGGATAACCATCTGGACAACCATCGGGACATCCATCGGGACAACCTTCGGGACATCCATGGGGACAATCCATCGGGACATCCATCGGGACAATCCTCGGGACAAATATCGGGACAATTTTCGGGACCATGATCGGGACTCCTGTCGGGACAACCATCTGGACAACAATCAGGACAACAATCGGGACAACCACCTGAACAACCATCGGGACAATCATCGGGACAACTTCGAGACAACCATCGGGACAACTATCGGGACAACCATTGGTACAACTATCGGGACAACCACCTGAACAACCATCGGGACAACCATCGGATTCGCCACGGGACAATCGCGGGCCCGGAGGAGTATTCTTATTTGATTTGTCTCTAGCAGCGGCGGGGTCACTCCTCTCGCCCGCGCGCGTAGCTTCGCCTCGCCCGCACGCACGACACGAACACGACACCGCAACCCGTGCTCTGTTGGGTGGGGGTCTCCGTTTCATTTCGATCTCACCCCCGCAATTTCGGAAACTTCTTGTAGTGGCTGAGTCCAGTGCCGCCGATCGAAGACGGCGACGAAGACGACGACGAACGACGAATGTCGACGGAATATCGACGACGACAATCTATTGTTTTGCGATGCTCTTCATGTTGCCTGCACGTGTGCCCGTGATGCCCCTTCGTCGCACAGGACATCCTACTGCGCGGAGGGCGACCCTGGCCGAGGAGGGCTGGGCAGCATGCAAGCGACTGGCGAGGGAGGATCAGTATCTTTTAACCGACCCCTGTCCCCATCCCGATCCCCATCCAGACCCCCACCATCTCAGCACCCCAGATGGGGATACACTCCTGGAGACCCGAAGAGAGCGGCCTATATCCCCATCCAGGGGGGTAATCGGCCAGCGGGGCTCAGGTCACGCCAGTGGAGACAGGGGCCGGATGGACGATGCTCAGAGGAGCAGGAGCAGATCTCAGGCGAGCGAGGTCGCGTACACCGAGTTCGAAGAAGCGCATGTGTGCAGGTGATATGAACATCAGGCTTGCACATCGGTCGTTGAACATAGGTATTTTTGGATTCCCATATTCCAATATACGTCTAGCGCCTTCCTACTTCAAGAACCGATGCACTTTCTATGCTTTGTTCTCATCTGAGAGGGCCGGACCCAATCTAGTTTATCCGCCTTCCTACTGCATGTTTTTACATACTTCTCCGACCGATGTGTAAGTTCACGCCATCGTAAGAGTAGATTTCGGGCGTTGGAGAGCGAGAGCATGTTTTGGTGATGACCTTCGGCCTGCACCGCCGATGCGGGGCGCTCCTGGGGTTTGAGGGCCGCCACTGCGTACAGTCGAGACTCCGCCAAATCGAGGGTACCCTTTTGTCCTGAGCTTCGCTACCCATGCCTTCTTACATTCATATTACAATGTGGCACTCGGAAGGGACTTGTGTCCTCTCTCTCTCGTGTCCTCTCCAATCAACCCTGACCGTAGCGAGGATCGAAGAGGTTTGAAGTTCGAGGTGTTCGGAGGTCTTCGCTGGCTCTTCGTTCAATGCTTCCGCTTCCGCGCTGCGGTGGGGACCCATGCCAAGACACACCCTGCTTGCCTCCAGGGCGCCCTGGGTTTCTTGGGTTTCGATGGTTTTGCTGTGGATGGCGTGACGCTCCCACGCCAAACATCCATGGACGCCCTGGGTTCTCAGGGTTGGGTTTCCTGTGGGAAGTCTCTTCTCGTCGGGCCCCTGCCGTACCACGTCAGGCCATGCACCTGCCCGGGCAGCGCACGAGGCGGCTCCTCTTGGGGTCTCCTGGTGGCCTGCTCGGGGCCACTTGGGGGGCCCCACTGAGGCCCTGTGGGTGCCTCTCGGAGGCCTCTCTGGGGCCTCGTGGGGGCGGGCGGCGAGCGGCAGGATGGGCGAGGTCCCGTGGGCCGGATGTCAGCAGCGAGGGGTCGAGGCCGGACCCTGCGGGAGAGGGTGGGGCCGAGGTCGGCTCCAGGCCGGAGACTTTCAGGGTGCGCCCCTCCCGCAAACACGATTCCAGATGGGAAGGGCGCCGTGGCCAGGTGGAGGCGAGGGGGGGGGGTCGGGGGCGGTTCCGCGAGGGAAATTGCAGAGCGGGTATCCCCAAAACATCACCAGTCAGTCAGGATGCCGTGGCGGAGGCGAGGTGGGGGGTCGGGGTTGTCTCTGGGTTTGGGGGGCCCCAGAAACAGGACTCCAGATGGTCAGGATGCCATGGCCAAACGGAGGCGAGGTGTGGGGTCGGGATCGGGCCTGGGCGTGAGATGCAGGGTGGGGGGTGCCAAGACCAGGGCCCCAGACAGTCAGGTTGCCGTGGCCATGTGAAGGCGAGGTGGGAGGTCGCGGTTGGTTCCGGGTGAGAAATTGCAGGGTGGGGGTCTCCCCAAACATAGTTCCAGAAGGTCAGGGCGCCGTGGCCAGGTGGAGGAGGGGTGGGGTGGGGTCTGTTCCCGGCTGGAAATGGCCGTGTGGGGTTTTCATTCCACGCGGTCAAGATGTCGCGGCCAGGTGGAGGCGAGCGGTGGGCCTGGGGCCAGTTCCAGGCGAAAGGTTGCAGGGCGGGGGGTGCCTGAAACAAAGTTTTAGATGGTCAGGCCGCGGTGGCCAGGTGGAGGCGGGTGGGGGGTCAGGGTCGGTTCGTGTGTGGGGTTCCAAGATATCTGTGCCATTGCCAGGCCGAGGCGCGGCGGGGGGGCGGCGTTGGTTCCGGGCGGGAAATTGCAGGGTGGGGGGGTTCAAAAACAAACTTCAAGATGATCAGGGTGCGGTGGCTTGGTGGCTGGGTACTTGGTGGAGGCGAGGTGGGGGGTTGGGGTTGGTTCCAGGCGGAAAATTGCAGGGGGGGGCCCAAACGCAATGTCCAGATAACAAACCGTGGCCCGGTGGAGGCGAGGTGGGGGGTCGGGTTAGGTTCTGGGCGGGATATTGCAGAGCGGGGGGCCCCAAAAACCCCTCATGATGTCGTGGCCGTGTGGAGGCGAGGTGGGGGGTCAGGGCCTGCTCCGGGTGAGAAATTTCATGGGGGGGGGTCCGAAGAAAAGATGATCAGGGCGCCGAGGCCATGTGGAGGCGAGGTGGGGGGTCGGGTTTGGTTCCGGGCGGGATATTGCAGAGCGGGGGGGTCCCAAACACAAAGGCCTCAGGATGTCGTGGCCATGTGGAGACGAGGTGTGGGGTCGGGGCCTGTTCTGGGCGGGAAATTTCAGGGTGGGGCGTTCTGGAGAAAAGTGGTTCGAGATGATCATGGCGCCGTGGCCATGTGGAGGCGAGATGGGGGGTCGGGGTCGGTTCCATGCGGGATATTGCAGGGGGTGGGGGTTCCAAAACATCGGTGCCATTGCCAGGTCGAGGCGCGGCGCGGGGGCGGCGTTGGCTCCGGGCGATTTTCAGGGACCACCGATTTATCCAGATCCGATGTTGTCCCGATCCTGCTCTCGTCTTGGCAGCAGCTCGCAGTGCGAAGGACGACATCAGTGGATGCGACGCGGCGGCGATGGCTGGAGCCCCTTTGCGGCTCTACTTCCGCAGTCGGCCTCGAACGCCGGCTGCGCAGCGCGTAGAGCTGCTGTAGTGTAGGTCATCTCGCGGCGGCGCGCCTGGGGCGGCGCAAGGGGCGGCCTTCTGAGGAGGCCTCGCGCCTCTCAGCCTCGCCTCCGTCTCTGCGAGGCCGCCTTCTACGCAGAAGTGCGCCGTCCGGATGTCTTCACGGCGCGGCCCCACGGACGCCCCGACCCGTTCCCCGAGGCCAGTCTCTCATCCCGGGGTCGGTTTCGGACGGCCCGAGGCCCGGTGGTGGCCCCCAGAAGCCGACACTGTGCCAGAAACGCTTGCCGTGATCCTTGCTGCGACGCGGGCGCCCCTGGGCTACAGGCTTCCTGCGCCGCCCCACAAGAGCCGTCGGCCGGCCATGCCGGACCGCACGCAACGCCTCCTGGCAGTCCTCCCTGCGGTCGACAGGGCGCTCGCCGAAGAGAGGAACTTCTTGGACCGCGCCAAGGACCAGAGGAGGAAACGGTGCTGATACCGCTGCCCTTCCTCGTTTTCCCCTTCTCGGGCCTCTCGGGAGGGGCCCTCGTCGCCACCGCTGGATTCCGGTGCGAAGTCTGGACCAGAACACACCTCGGGAGTAGCGGTATCGGTGCCTTCTCGGTTCCCCCCAGAAAAGGACGTGTGGACCGACCTCCGGCGAGGGCTCCTGGATGTCAAGCAGGACCTCGGGAGGGGGGAATGGGGGGGGAGTCGGAGGGCACCAACTATACACCAACACCGATCCTGGCCCAGGATCACCCTGGGCCCATGATCGGTGTATATGCCTTCTTGCCCAAGGCAGGAGGGCGTATACACCGATCCTGGGCCCAGGGTGATGCTGGCCAGGATCGGTGTTGGTGTATAGTTGGTGCCTTCCTAGGGAGAGCCACTCGAACATGAATGGCGGACGTCCGCCGCGGACGGTCCCTCTCCGCCAGCGCCTCTGGGGGAAGACCTCCGGCGCCGCCCTGAAGCGCGCCTCGCGCTCCAGGCAGGCGAATGCGCTGGCGGAAGAACTGTCCGTGGCCTCCTCGGCACCGCTCTGAGGACCCAGAGCAGCTGGAGGGAATGAGGCTCCCGGACGGCAACATGTCGGGAGCTTGTCTCTCTCGCTGCCACCATCGCCCCGCAGCCCGCAGTCTGCCGCTCGAGCAGCAGGAGGTGTAGGGGAGGGCGGCGGGGAAGCGAGGGGCAGGAGGAGGAGCAGGACATATGGAAGGGGAAGGGCGGGGTCTCCTCATCCCTTTTCTCCTCCGGCTCTGGCGGATGCCGCTGCAGGGGGTTCGCCCTTCTCCCCCATGACCTCGGGGACACGTGAGCATGCATTCAGGCGCGTGGATACGCGACGGGTCCCGCTTTCGTGCGACAGCGGCGCGCACCATCGCCTCAATGAGGCCGCACTGGCGTCATGTTTCTGGATCTGCCCAGGGCGTTTTTTTTTGCGGGGGGGGGGGGGCGGCGGGTTGGTTTGCCGTTGTCGTTTAACTCGGCGTGTTGGACATCTTCTTTTAGCGCTTGTAGGTCCCAACAAGAAAACCAAGAACACTAAGCCCTTACGACAAAGAGTCATGAGTTGTTTTCCGTTGTCGGCTGCTGTGTTTCAAGCACGTTCCAGATCAGCTGGCTGCATTGTTCAACCTTACCGTCTATGGCGTCCTTAGTTCCTTCTCCTGGCGTGCAGCCCTCCCTATATTCGGGGGAGCGTAAGACCCGGGTTTGCCGGGACTCGGGTTCGCCATCGTTTTTTGACGACCGCGACTCGGATTTTGACGAGGAGGAGTTTTGTGGGATGTCTGCAGCGGGAGGCCTCGTCAAAATGCAGGCTCGGCCTCGTCATTTTTTTGACGACCTCGTCGGGGATTTCCGAGTCCCCCGTACCCGGGTCTTACGTCTCCCCGATATATTTCGATGATCATCCTTATCATCATTCTTATTGTTCCTTTTGCTCTTCTCTTGTCCTCGCTGCTGGCTGGGGCGTCGGGCCTCTGGGCCCGATGGCCGATTGCCCCTCCTGGGGCCATCGGGCCTCCGGGCCTGTTTCGGGCCGCTGTTCGATCGTTTTTTTTTTTGTGTGTGTTTTTGTTTTCTCTTTTTTCCTGGTTGTGAATATATATAATACAAAATCTTACATTGATAAAACATACCGCAGGGATGGCACGGGCCAGCCTTCGACCAGAACGCAAAAAAGGCTTAAACAACATACTTATCCACAGTGACCGGCCCAACAACGGTAAAAGCACGGAGCTAAACACGCCAAAACAAGCGCCGCGTCGGCTCTTTCATATAGAACTTCATGGTCAAGAGCCCACAGTGCAAAACTGTAAAAACGCCCAGGGCGCTTTGAGAAGAACCAAGTTCGTAGTCTTCGTCCTGCTTTCTGCCCTCCTCGGGCAGACTGGGGTTGGTGGCCGATGGTGGGTGGTGGCTGGGGCGACGGCTCCCGAAGCAGCATGGACAATCTGTGGGAATTCATCATGAAACTCGTGGCGGCGTCCCCCAAGCACACGAAGCAGGTAGCGGGCACGCCTCTCCCCCCCCCTCCCACGAACTTCCTCGGCTCCCGACCTCCCTACCCCATCCATCCATCCTCCCCGTCCCTCGTCCCCTTGCTCCTGTTTCCTGCTCCTATATCGCTCCCCATTCCTCTCTTTCTCAGGTTCCCCCCCCTCCTCCACCTTCCCTCCTCGTCCTCGTCGATCTCTTGTCGTCATCTGTCTTGTCCTCGCCCCCCTCCTTCCAAATCCTCCCCATCCCTTCTTTCCTCCCTCCTCCCACCTCTCCTTCCCTGTCCCCTTCATCCTCCGACCGCTCCTTCTCCTCGCCCAAGTCCCTCTCTCCCTCCTCGTCCTCCTGCCCCCACCTCTCACTCCCCCGTTTCCTCCGCCCCCCCTTCCTCCTCTTCCCAATTTCTCCCTGCTCGGTCCTCCTTCCTCCCAGGCCATCTTTCTGCTACTCCTCGCAGCTCGTACCCCTTCTGGCTGAGGTTGCCTGCCGGTTTGAGCGAGCTCGTGCGGCCGCTCCCCTTCCGGAGCGGCAGCCATGCCGCCGCGGCGCGGAACCGGATCTTCTGTGCGAGTTTACGCTTAGGTCGGGCATGTCCCTCTACAGGAGGAGTATTCAAAATTAGTCAAGAACAAGTCAAGGGACGATTATGTAGTATTCTTCAATATGTTTGGTGCAGTTTTTTGATTTTTTGCTTGTCTGCCAAAATTCCCTGCAGGGGGACAGGCCCGACATAAGCTTACGCGTCTCCTTCGGCTGTTCCAGGAGGACGGCGAAGGCTGTGGTCAGGAGCTTGTTCGACATCACAGGCAGCGCGAAGACGATTCCAGAGTCGCCTTTGCCTTTGCCGAGCTCTCCCTGCAGTGTCCTCATCGGATGGACCTGGGCAGCTCCAGATGACGGTGCAGCTGGACAGCGCTTTCTGATGGCCGTATACTCGTTCCGCCACCATCAGGGAATTTGGTCACGCCGCTTCCCTCTACATTCCGTCAACACTCAAGAGCCACAACCGCCGATGAGCTCCTGGCCCAGAGCGCCAGCTGGGCGATCGAGGGAACGTTCAGACTTGATTCGCAATCGGAGCGCATGTGCAGGCCGCCCCCCCGCAGTCAGTTGAGATTCTAGACGCTTCGCGCAACCCCACTGGCCCATCCAGACACGAAGTCCAGACGAGTTGCCCTGAGCAGGGCCGTGGAGGAGCACGCGGTGGAATACTGGGGCGGGTGAAGCGACATATCCCAAGAGGGGGAGCATGGAGGAGGAAGAGGCAGGCCTGGAGCCTCTTCGGGTGCCTCTTGAGAGGTTCTCGGGGTCTTCGTGAAGTCTTCTTGGGATGTTTTTGGGGGGGTTTCTGGGGGGGTTCCTCTCGGCGGCCCCGCGGGCCTCTTGGAGCATCCTGGGTGCCTCCGGGCGTGCCTCTTTGGGCCCCTCGGGGATCTCTCGGGAGCCTCCTCTTGGGGACCTCCTGGGGGCCTCTTGGGGCCTCCTGGGCGCCTGCCTCGTGGGGCACTCTCGGGAGCCTCGAGGGCCATGCTGGGGCCACCTCGGTGGAGATCGATCGAACAAAGGGGGGGCCGGGGGGGCGTAAATTGGGGCCCCGCCCCCCCAGGAGGCCAAACTGGTCCCAAGAGTTAAGATCAACAAGTTGTGCCTCCTCGCACGGGCCGTGGTGTCGTAAATTAGGGCCCCGCCCCCCCAGGAGGCCGAACTGGTCCTAAGAGTTAAGATCAATCAGTTGTGCCCTCTCGCACGGGCCTTCTTGGTCGGTCCGATCGAGCGCGGGGCGCCCCGTCCAGGTCCAGGGGAGGGGTAGGGGAATGGGTCAAGACACCCTCGGGATAATTAGCAAGCCGTCCAGCTCACTCCCACCCGCCCTCCCAACACATAAGTAACACCCGGGCCTCAGCATGTTCCGCGGCCGTCTTTTGATTGACAGCTACTGGGAACCAAAACCGAGCCCATGTGGGCGACGCTGGGGCGAGGTGCGCCACGCGTGCCAGGCGCGCCACGCGCGCCAGGCACCCCTGGGGCCCGAGCGGGCCAGGCACGCCTAATGCGCCAGATGCTCCCGCCAGCCGCGCCAGGTGCGCCACGTCCGGGACACGTGCAGAGTGTGTCAGGTGCGCCTGCGCACGTGACAGCACACATCGGGAAACATGTCGGCCCCCACCATCCCTGTCGAACATCAATGCCCATCATTGTGTCTGGTGGGCCTGCGCACAGCAGGCCATACGCCACCACTCCCGCTGTCCCTGACAGAAAACCACTTGACACTGATCGCGGGGTGGCCGCGCACTATCCACATTTAGCAGCGAGGTGTATTTTGTATTGTGTGTTTGTCCGAGATGGTAGCCCTGCGCGCAGCAGGTAATATGCTGACACCCCCGCCGTCCCTGTCGAAAAACAATACAAAGTGCCCGCGGGCCTCACGAACATGACTCCATAATTTTGCCCCAAAGTGTACTGTGTATTGTTTTCTGACAGGGATGGTGGGGGTGGGCCGCACCGGGTTAGTTGCGCACGCTCCGAATTTGGAGACAGAGTGCGTTTGTTGACAGGGATGATGGAGGGGGCCCCTCATGGTGTGCGCATGGTTCCAGGTTGGCTGCCGGCCGGGTGGGGGAGGGGGTGTTTATTAATAGGGCAGTGATAAACCCTTCCCCGAATGGGAAGAAGGGGGGGGTGGAAGAGGAAGTGCGCTAAACCACTCATGCCGTAAAAGGCTGATGGGATTAGTGCTCATCCTTTGCTCTTCGCCGCGGCCGTGCCGGGGCGCCCAAGCTCCCGGGTGTATCTTGACAGCTTGTCAACATGGACGGGCACTTCGCCGAACATCTCTGCGGGCGCTGTGCTACGCCAGCCTCCGCTGGAGGCAACTACGTCATTTACGCTCCCGCCCGACCAACAGGAAAGGAACGCACGAGGGCCAATAGTGCCAACACGCAAGCCCGTCATCAGGAAACACTTTCCGACAAACTCAGGAAGAACACGAATACCATGGTGGGTCACCGAGGACCAGGCATACAAGAGAGGATACACATTCTGCCCCTGCCGCCGCAGCTGCGACGTGGAGCATCGACACGTCCTCCCTGCCGACGGGCAACGCCATCACCTTGGTCGCGGGCACGAAGGTATGCGACTCCAGCGGCACCGACGGCGGCGCCTGCACTGGCGACGTGCCGACGGGCGCCGTGGGGTCCGTCCGCAGACGCCGCTGCGGATCGCTCCGTGGCGAGGGAGGCGCAGCGGTGGGCAGTCTGGGCCAGCCTCCCGTCGGGAGCTGGAGGGCGTTGACGCCAGCGACGCCGTCGGCGCGGCCTCGGACAGGTTTGCGCGCGCGCGCGAGAGGCAGGCGCTCGCGACCGCCGTGGCGGGACAGGACCCAACGCGCAGACGAGCGGCCGCGCAGTGGCGCCGGCAGCGGCGGACCGCCTGGCCGCGGCCGTGCGGCCGAGGGCGGCGCGGGGCAGGCGCATCGCAGCGGCAGCCTCGCGCAGATCCCCCGCGGGGGGCGGCGCGCCCCGACGGCCGGCGGCGCAGGGCCAGCGGCGTGCCCCAGCTCGGGCGCGCGAGGGAGGGCCGCCCGGCGGCGGAGGGCCGCCGCATTCGGGAGGGCGAGGGACGCCGGAGCGAGCTCGCGGGCGCGGTGGAGGCCGCGCCGCGCTGGTCCGCGACGCATCGCGGGTCGATCCAGGCTCGAGTCGGGCCTGTCCCTCTACAGGGGGAATATTCCAACATAGTCCAAAAATAGTCTGGGGCCTATTTTTGGAGTATTTTTAGACCATTTTGGGGCATTGTTGGAGTACTTTTTATTTTTTCGTCGACGATCCCCCTGTAGAGGGACACGCCCAACTGAAATCCAGGCGGAGGGCGCGAGGGTCGGCGACGCAGGCTCCGGTGGACAGGCGTAGGCGCGGCGGCGGAGAAGGCGAGCCTGGTCCAGCAGCAGGCTGCGTGTCGCCGCGGCCGCTGTTGCGGAGGCCATGGGCAGTCCGAGGCGCAGGCTCTGCGCCCAGGCGCAGCCTCGGTGGCGGGTGGCACCACGGGGTGCTCCGCCACCCGAGTTGTTGCCGCGCGCGTTCTGTCGGAGGTCCAGGTCTGGATTATCATGGTATCCGGAGTCCGAATCAGCGCGCGAATGGGGCGCCGAGAGGGCGAACGCGACGAGATCTCCGCGTAGTGCTCCTCCCTCGTCATCCATTCGCCCCCAGCATCAAGGTCATTACCATGGACGCACTCATATCCATCTTGAACATCACCCTTGTCTTTGCAGCCGCTGCCATCCCACTTTCCCACCTGTTTTCCTCATCCGGAACCTTCTCATTGCCCGTCTTCCCCCTCCTACTCCTCGTCCCCTTCGCGTTCATGTTGGTCCCCCTTTTCCTGTGCATCCTGCTCATTTTTCTCCTCCTCCTCCTTCCGATCCTCTCTGCTACCATTATTTCCTTTGTCCCCCCTCCTCCCCTGTCATGACTGTGCCTCATCCTTCCCATGCCCTTTCTACTCCCGTTCCTCGTTGTCCGTGCCGTTTTGCTCGTCTCCACCCTCGTCCTCCTCGGCGTCATCCCCGTCCACTTCATTTTCCTCGCTCTCCCTCTCTTCCACCCCGTTCCTCCTCATCCTGTCCATGTCGTCGTCGTCGTCGTCGTCGTCGTCGTCGTCGTCGTCGTCGCCTTTGTTGTCTGTATCATCCTTATCATCATTCTCGTCGTCCCGACCATTCTCGTCCCCCCTCCCTCCTTCCCCTTCCCTCTCTCAATCCTGAGCACTTTCCTACGTAAAGCCTCCTCGCCTGTCTTCCCCCCTGCGTCATTTGCCGCCTTTCCCGACTCCCTCTGCCCCGCATTGCCTTCCTGTCCCTCTCCCCCACTGCCCCGCCTCCTTCCCCCTCCTAGCAAGAGCTCCGCATTCGCATCCCCCCTGCCCATGGCCCCGAAGGAGTGCTGATGCTGCGCACTGCGGCCCCCGTGTTTCGGCCCCTTCTCGAGGACACCCCTTGTGCCCAGAGCCCTTCTTGCCTGACGGCCGTCGGGCCCGCCACGGGCCCTCCCCTTGCAGCCGAGCATGGCAAACGCATGCTTCAGGAGCGGGGGGAGGAGGAGGAGGAGGAGGAGGAGGAGGAGGAGGAGGAGGAGGAGGAGAGGAGGAGGAGGAGGAGGAGAGGAGGAGGACGAGGAGGAGGAGGAGGAGGAGGAGGAGGAGGAGGAGGAGGAGGAGGAGGTGGAGGGGGAGGAGGAGGAGGAGGAGGAGGAGGAGGAGGAGGGCGTGCGGAGGTCCAGGCCCCGGCCCCCCTCCCTGGCAAGGTCCTCGAGGTGCTGCCCGTGCTGCTCACGCCCGCGACGCCGCGCTGGGCCGACGCCTTTCGCAGGACCCCCGGAAAGGGGCGCCTGTCGCTCTGGAGGCTGGCGGCCAGTCCAGCATCGCAGGCGGAGTTCGACAAGGTGGCTGGCCGTCTGCTGCCTGTCTTCTTGGTCTCGCAGGTCGGGTCGGAGCAGGTGGGGACGGAGGATCGCCGCATCGCCGACGCATTGGCGATGTGTCTCGATGCGGAGCCCGATTTTCTCCGCGCCGACGTCGCCATTGCATCGCCGACGTCGCCGATGGATTGCCGATGCATCGCCGATGATGGCTGGGTGGGCCGTCCAGCCCCTCTTTGACGCACGAACAACACACACCCATACCCACAGGGGGAACGGAGGCAGGAGGACTTGCTGTTGGTAAGGGTGCGGGTTGCCGGACCGCGGGGGACGCTCCCGTGCGAGCGGGGATCCTCATCCGACAAACACGCACACATGGCCCCCTTCGTCCCCCCTATGGGTATGGGTGTGTGTGTGTGTGTGTTGTTTGTTCGCCACTCTTCGCGCCGCGGGAGGCAAACCAAGCTTGGCGGACGGTGTTTGGCAGTCTTCGGCCTCCAGGGGCCCTCACCTGGTCAGGGGCCGTTCAAACATTCGCTTGCGATGCATCTCCGGCCCCAGGAATGTGCGCAGGCCTCCCGCGTTCCCCGCTGTGAAGAGATCAGAGCGTCGGGTGTGTGGGAATCGCACTTGCCATGACTCTTCACAGGCTGATCAGGGCGCCCGACGACTAGCTACGGTGGGTTCGCGTCGTGTCGACTGGCCGCGACCCCGCCGCTGGCATTCATCGTTGAACGCCGCTGGCCGCCCAGAATCGGTCGACGTTGAACGGTCGGACGTTGCGGTGTCAGGGACCAACGCCGGGGTCGACACGACACGGACCTGCTGCACGTGAGCTCAGTTGCTCACCCCCCTTTGATCTCCCCTCTCTGTCCGCACCGGAGCGAGGAGCTGGGCCGCGTCCCGTTCCCTCGCCCGTGCCTGTAGGGTATGTGATTCCGCCGCCCGGGCCCCGTCCAGACAGAGTGGTCTATAGCCGGTGGCGGCGCCCAAGGAGAGACTCGGAGCCCAAGAGACGGGGGTCAATGCAGACGGGGGTCGGCCAGGGCACCGGATCCTGCAGGATCCTGCGAAGACCCCCTCTGGCTGACCCGGGCCAGCGAGCCGCGAGGCGGCCACGCCTATTGACTGACCCGGGTTTGCGAATCCCTGCGCTGCAGTTTTTTTTCTTGCATTGCAGTTTTCTGGTTTCCCGCTGATCCAGATCTGACTGACCTGGGTTAGCAGATCCCCGAGAGACGGCAGGGGCACGCGCATAGCACGATGTACGCGCGGCGATGGGATTTTTGGCGACGCAAGCACAGGGACGAGTGGTGATCGTTTTTTGGATCATTGTTTTGCCGATGGGCGCGGGCCCTCGGACCCCCCCCCCCCCCTGGAGTGGATCTGGGCTGTTTTCTGGCGCCCGTTTCGAGCAGGCGGAGCCTCCCCCATAGGACGCACTGTTGCAAACAGCCGCACTAAGCAGAGCTCTGGAGCCAGCCCCCCCCTCCCCCCCCGCCCTTCCGCCCAATGTCGAGACGCCGAATAAAATAACGCCCGCATGGATTGGCAGACCACGGACGGATGGGAAAGTCAAGAACCGATGGGCACGGCGGCTTTTGGGGCAGGTGCGAGTTCCGCCCCGCCGCAGGGCCCAGTTCTCGGTGCACGGGCGCCTCGCGACGCGACGCCAGGAGGCGCCAGGAAGCCCAGCTGCGTAGGCCGCTTCTCTGCCCTGCCCTTGTCCAGGTCCATGCTGCCGGCCTTGAGGTTGGCACCAGCACCAATATCGGCGGTGCGCCTGCACCGAGGGAAGAAGATCCCGATCTCGGTGATGGAGGCCGAAATATTACCACCAGCACCGAAATCTAGGATCATCTGCCCCGTGTGGAGGCAGCCCCCTGTGTTGGTGATGGTGCCCATTTCCAGGCCCAATTCTTCGAGTAGGGGATCGACTACATAATCGATTTACCCCAAACTTGTTTCCCCTTCGAATCTGCGATCCTTCCCTACAGTGCTCCGTAGATCGGCTGACCTTCTTTACGTATTTTTCTCATGGGCTCGAAGAATCAATTTTGGGGTACATCAATTCCGTAGTCGATCCCCTACACGAATCCTGTCCCCGAAAAGGGCGAGGCAGGAGGAGACGGGGGGGGGGCAGGCCGGCGGGGGGCGCGCATGAGGGTGGAATGAATGGAGTGCGCTGGGCGAGGGGGGGGGGGCGCGGAGGCGACGGGCGATGGGCGGAGGAAGAGTCTTGGCCGTGCGACGGGCGGGCCGAACGAAAGGGGGGGATGAGGCTCCTCCAGGCTGCTCAGGCTCCTCAGGCTCCTCGCGCTCCTCAGGCTCCCCAGGCTCCCCAGGCCCCAGGTGCTCCCAGGGCTCACCCCAGGGGCTCCCCAGGGGCTCCTCGGGTGCTCACAGGGCTCTCCCCAGGTGCTCCCAGGTCCTCTTTCGGTGCTTCGAGGGGCTGCTCCCCAGGTGCACCCAGGGGCTCCCCAGGGGGCTTGGGGGGGGGGGGCGCGAAATCAGCTGCATGCAGCTAGTTTGGGCCCCGCCGCCGGGCCCATTCCTCGATACATCACGGGCGCCTCCCGGCGCCAGGAGGCGTTGGGAAACTCGGGTACGTGAGCTGATTCTCTACCCTACCCTTTGCTATCCCTCCTTGTGTTTCCCCCGAGACGGGCGGATGAAGAACGTTGGCCGTCGTCTCTTTCCGCCTCCTTCTCCGCATCTCGAAGAAGGAACATGTCTCCATATCGGGGAAACGTAGGACTTGAGTGCGCCAGAGCTCGGGTTTGCCAACGCTTTTTGTTGAGCGCGTCCGGGGTTTTGGCATCCCAGTTTTCGTGACATATGTTCAGCTGGAGTTTGCGTGGGTCTTCAAGCTGGGTCTCGTCATTTTCATAATGGCCCCGTCAGGGCAGCCCGAGTCCCCCGAACCCGAGTCTTACGTCTCCCCGACCATATTGCTGCTCTCGCCCAGTTTTCCTGTCTGTCGGCCTCCTGGGAGGCCCCCGTCGCCACCGCTGGACTCGCTTCGAAGTCTTGGTCAGAGCGGGCCCCAGGAGGTGTTCGGGTGGTGGCGGCAGCGGTACGTTTGGTTTCACAGGGCTGCCGATAAGGCCTAGACGCCCCCGGCCGAAGGCCGAGAATAGTAGCGCGTGGTTAGTTGAGAACAGAGCGCCTTAGAGCAGCCTCGTGGCCACCCCGGGCGGAATCAGTTGTGAAACATCCGGCAGGGCAGCACGCAGCCGAGGAGGAGACTGCGGCCTTGCGATGAGCGGATGAAGAATCTTGGCCTGCGTCCTTTTTCGCCTCCTCCTGTCGGAGGCGTTTTGTCCGCCACCAAACCCCGACTTTTCGACGAAAGCTGAAGCTATTCGGGCGCACCCCTATCGAGGATGCCCGCCCCCCTCGTAAATCCCCGGGTTGGGCCCTAATTTGTTTGCCCATTCGAAAACCACACGAAGTCGGGGATAGGGGTCGACATATCCTTTGTTATTCTCCCTATCTGCCCTTGTCGTGGGCAACGTTCGGGGGGACAGCCTCATGGGGAATGCCCCGATCCCCAATTCTACCTGTCCGAGCCCGTAAGCCCATCCTGCCAAGGATCGTGCGGATTCGTTACCAGAGGCATATCGCCGATGCAATGGCGATGTATCGCCGATTCCAGGCCGATATTTCTCCCTCTGACCAGGTCCCCCCCTGACATTCCACCTCATGGTTGATTTGCAAGTTCGATTCAGCATCGGTACTGATGTACTATAAGTCTCGTTGAAGACCAGCCTAATCCAGCTTGCTCTGGCTTGATCAAGGACATTTGTGATGAGTCCGGCTTGATCGTCAAATTGCTGGCTCAATCTGGCCCAGTGTCGCCCACGACGATCTTAGAATTACCACCCATGACTTCTATTTCGCGCCCCCCCTGGAGCTCCCCACCGATCGATACGAGCGCCGAGGTGGTGGACGTGACGCTACAGCTGCTCGCGCTGAAGGTACCGGCGGACGAGCTCCTGCCTTCGGAGGACCTTCTCGCCTTCCTCTCCTCTCACGCAGCCCGTTCTCCTTGTCGTCGTGCTCCCCTTTCTCTTCGAACCGCTCGGAGAAGCCCAGAAGACATGCCCGTTGTGGAAAATGGTCGTCCTTTTGCCATCGCATCATAGAGTGTGATGCAACCGCCCGCCTGCTTCAAGAATCGAATTGCCTCCCCATTTCCTTCTCTTGTTCGGGAGCAGCTGGAAGCCAGATCTACCCCAATGCTTCTATCTATTCCTTCCGACCGACGCGTAAGCATACATTTTTGGAGGTCCGCGCGGATTTTGGGGACCAGCGCTGAAACCGGGTTGTCGCCTATCTAAACTCTTTGCAGACCTGCGAACATATCTGAATATGCGGATTTTCTCCCAACCATGCTGTGGTGTTGGGTCCTCGTTTTGAGGAGACAGTGTTTGGCGTCCTCCTCCTCTCCTGCTCCTCCTCCTCCTCTTCCTCCTCCTCTCTTCCTTCCCCTGCTCGCATCCTTGCCTCTGCCGTCCTTGCCTCACACCCCTCGCGCGTTTCGTGGCCCCATAGGGAGCTCAACCGAAGGCCCCAGCGGCAGCGTTCGCATGCGCCCGCGCCTCTAATTTCGGCACACCCATCACACGTTTCGTGGCTCCACTGGGAGCTGAACCGAAGGTCCCAGAGACAGCGTTCGCATGCGCCCGCGCCTCTCATTCCGGCACACCCATCAAACGCTTCGTGGCCCCACTGGGAGCTCCACCGAAGGCCGCAGCAGCAGGATTCGCACGCGGCCACGCCTCTCATCTTGGCCACAGACTTTCCGTGGCCCCACAGAGAGCTCCACCAGAGACCACAGTGGCATCGGAATCGTCCGCATGCCGCCTGCGTCCGCGCCTTTCATTTCGGCACACTCCTGACACGTTTCGTGGCCATGGGAAGTTCCACTGAAGGCCCCAGTGGCAGCGTTCTGAAGCGTCCGCGCCCTTCATTTCGGCAGACCCCTCAAACGCTTCGGGGCCCCGTACAGTGAGCGGCTTGAATAAGGAACACTTGCTTTTCAAAAGGGGGCTCGGTCGTTCCTCAGGCTGGCATGCGTTATTTATCGCTCGGCACTCGCTACTTATTAGTTATCGTTCCTGAGGCGTTTTTCCCTTGCTAAAGAGGGGGCGTCGTTCCTCATTTACCGTTGCTCGGGTCATGCCGACAACTGCAGGGAGCTCCACCGACAGCCCCAAGTTTGTTGCGTTCGCCTGCGCCCGCGCCTTCTTTACCCAGCAGCTTTTGCTGATAGGTTTCTAGTGGGGTCAAAAGAGAGCATCTTGACGCCCCAGGGGGGTCTGGGCGGGATCCGGACAGGGGTTCCGGACAGATCCGGCATCCCCAGGAATCCATAGGAATCCTTAGGAATTTTCAGAAATCCTTAGGAATCCATCCCCAGAACACCATTCCCAGGCCACATTTTGAATGCCCGGAGCCAACTGTAGGCGACTTCGTGTTCTTCGTGTTCCCAGAACACATTCCCAGGCCACATTTTGAATGTCTGGAGCCAACTGTAGGCCACTTCGTGTTCTTCGTGTTCCCAGAACACCATTCCTATACCACATTTTGAATGCCCGGAGCCAACTGTAGGCCACTTCGTGTCCTTCGTGCTCCCAGAACACCATTCCTATACCACATTTTGAAAGCCCAGAGCCAACTGTAGGCCACTTCGTGTTCTTCGTGTTCCCAGAACACCATTCCTGTACCATATTGCCCGGAGCCAACTGTGGGCCACTTCGTGATCTTCGTGTTCAATTAGTGTTTTTCGTGTTCCCAGAACACCATTCCTGTTCCATATTTTGATTGCACGGAGCCAATTGTGGGCAACTTTGTGATCTTCGTGTTTCCAGAACACCAGTTCTGTGCCATATTTTGAATGCCCGAGCTGAGGCAGGCTGAGGCCGAGGCAGGCTGAGGCCGAGGCAGGCTGAGGCTGAAGCTGAGGCACGCCGAGGCTGAGGCTGAGGCTGAGGCTGAGGCAGGCTGAGGCTGAGGCAGGCTGAGGCTGAGGCTGACGCAGGCTGAGACCGAGGCAGGCTGAGGCCGAGGCTGCGGCAGGCTGAGGCTGAGGCAGGCTGAGACTGCTGAGGCAGGCTGAGGCTGAGGCTGAGGCTGATGCAGGCTGAGGCTGAGAGGCTGACGCTGAGGCTGAGGCAGGCTGAGGCCGAGGCAGGCTGAGGCTGAGGCTGAGGCAAGCCGAGGCAGGCTGAGGCTGAGGCTGAAGCTGAGGCAGGCTGAGGCTGAGGCTGAGGCTGAGGCTGTGGTTGAGGCTGAGGCAAGCTGCGGCTGAGGCAGGCTGAGGCTGAGGCTGATGCAGGCTGAGGCTGAGGCAGGCTGAGGCTGAGGCTGAGGCAGGCTGAGGCTGACAGATATGCTTATACACATCGCTGTTCGGTTGCTTTGCCGGGATATTTTTTTCAGGAGGGGAAAACACACGCACAGACACAATTAATCGTCGACTCCCAGGAAAATATGGGAAACTATGGGAAGTGGGGGGGAAGACAACAACCCAAAATATGGAACATAGGGGAAAATATGGGAAGTGGGGGAAATATGGGAAAATATAGGAAAACATGGGGGAATCTTGTTATCAGTGTGTATTCATTTGTGTGCCCTTGGGCCCCATTGGCTTTATCTTTTGGCACGCCCCTCGCGCGTCCCGGGGCCCGGCGCTCGCCCGACGGGGCCCTCCCCCCCCGCCCGCCGCCGCCTCTCCGTGCCCGCCCGCCCTCTCTCGGCCGCGCGCCGCCTGTGGCGGAGAGGGCAGAGGACGAGGAGGAGGAGGAGGAGGAGGAGGAGGAGGAGGAGGAGGAGGAGAAAGAGGAGGAGGAGGAGGAGGAGGAGAAGGAGGAGGAGGAGGAGGAGGAGGAGGAGGAGGAGGAGGAGGAAAAGGCGGGGGAGGCGGGATGGGCAGGAGGAGGTGGATGAGCAGGAAGAGGAAGGTCCCGCCGCGCCCCTCCCCCGCCGTCCGCTCCTCCTCATCCTGGCGGATCCAGAGGGAGCCGATCCAGATAGCGGCCCACCGACGGATCCAGTTCATCCTCCATTCATCGGCATCAGGCTCCTGCGAGGCAGCATGCCCTCCCCTCCCCGTAACCCGTGGGCCGGGGCGCCCCCGGCGCCGCCGCCGGCGCCAGCCCCCGCGCGGGTGGCGAGCAGTGTGGGGGCCCGGGGGTCGGCACGTCGTCGTTTTCGTATTCGCTGTCTTGCTCTCTCGCTTTCTTACCTCACCCGCCCCCATCATGAGCAAGCGGATGACGTTCATCGCCAACGTCGCTGGTCGTGCCTGGTCGGGTCTTGAATCTTATTGTTTGCTAGCAGGTGAGACGGCCCGCATTGATCGGAGTCTGGCCAAGAAAATGAGGGCCATGGCTATGGGGCGCGCACACCAGGAGTCCGAGGAGGGCAGGCACCAGTCTTGGACAACGCGTCAGGTATTCGAACACTGGTCAATGGCTCCTACATCGATTGAACTCCTCGTGCGCCGCCTCTCCTGGTGGCAACAGATCGTCACGGAGCCTAATCATCACTCGCATTTCTTAGCAGCTTTCTTCGGCCAGTGCACCTTCGAGCTGACAGTCGGCCAGGGACAGGTGGCCCCCTCGATCGCGGACAACGGTACATTGAGTACTGCTCCCTCCACGCATCCATGGCTCAGGCAGTTACGAGACGATCTTGCATGTCTGCTTGAACACCCCGCGGGAGAGAGGTTGAAGGTCGAGTGGGACCCCCCCCTGGTCCGAGACTTGTTCCACAATCATCATGTATCCGATGCTTTTCGAGCTTGCGATCCTCGTGTTCTTCGATCCAGTTTCCTCTCGAAGTCGTGGGCCCCTCCAGGGTACTCGTCTGTGGCGCAACACCTTCCTCGGGACGACACGATTCAGGACGACTCTGATGAGGAGGAGTTGTTACTCATATGTGGTCTGGATGGGTGCACTATGCGGTTCGAGAATTTACATAAGCTTACTATTCACCAAGTGCATTCTAAAGCTCCAGGACATGGCTGGCCCCCCATATTGACCACCCTTACCCTGGATAATCAGTGCCTTGTATGTAGAACGGTGTTTTCGTGTATCGAGCACACAGTATTACATCACCGTCGGCCCTGGCTCCAGGCACGCTGTTTACCCAACCAGACTCGGCACGTATATGAGTGGAAACCTACTAGTATTCGTTTATGCCCGTACTCCCAGGTCTCCGAGAATCACCAGTGCCAGTCCCCTTTCGAGAGTATGGGAATGTTTCGGAAGCACCTTCTCTCACACATCCCTCCGTCACCATCTGGCCCATGGGCACAGCCTCGCGTGCCCGCGGCGCGCGCACCCGCGGGGGATCCCCGCTCTTCCACTACAGCTAGCGCGCCGCGATCGACGTGGGCGCCTTCTGATACGGCCAGTACACGACAGGAGGTACAGCGTGCCTCTCAGCTGCTGCTGTCTCCCCCACCTCCGAGCACTGCGGGTCTACCTGCTCGTCGGCCTCGCGATCGACACCCCCGGCCTGCAGCATCGGCGGTAACATCGCCAGCGGATCCAACGCCAGCTCGAGCGACTACTACACCTGCACCAACGCCAGCTCGAGCGACTACTACACCTGCATTGCCTGTGCTACCTGCTGCAGCCCCTGATGGCGACGATGGCAGGCACCCAGCGGGCAGCTTGGCGCCTCCCGAGATCCTCAGCGGGGTCTGGCAGTGGTGGCAAGCCAAACGAGCCGAGCGGGCCGCGCGCGAAGGAAGCGCGGCGGGAGGCACCAGCAGAGGGTCGGGGCTCGGCGGAGGCGGCGGCCGCGGACGAGGGAGCACCAGAGGAGCCTCGGCGTCGTCGCCGAGGCGGCCGCCGCCGCCGCGGCCAACACTCGGACAAGAACTGGACATCGAAAGACAAGAACCTGGCGGAGTTTCTTCTAGTCATCGCGAAGCTGGTGTTACAGAACACGCATCGGACACGCATGAACTCGGCGGCGACCATCGACACGATGG